GAGACACTTTGCCCATGGCGCACATCATCGAACTTTTCGTCGCACAGGGTGCCGATGTTAATGAAAGTTTTACGGCAAATATTCCTTAGGTGTTCCCCCGTAAACAGAAGCAGGCCCTCCTTCACTGCCCCCGCCGTCTTCAGAATATGACGTCATCTGCCGCCACCGTCGAGCTCAACGAGGCTTACCGTAATCGCTCCGGCCTGAAGCTGCTACATAATTTCTTCAATGGATTAACTGTGAATAGCTTCCCAGAGACATTAGCTGTGACTATGCAAAACCGCTTTTGACCAGCGTTTCAGGGACGTCGTAATGGTCTATGGTACCTCGACGACCTCGTTGAGCTCGTACCGTGAACCATGTTTCCGTGGGAAAATCTTCTGATGTCGTCGGTGTAGAAGGCTCATGTAAAGTTTAGATAGATTAGAAGGTGCTCTTCAATAATGAGTTGGGGGCAGTCGATTTGATTTAGCAAAGTGTGATTAATGCTGTCTGAAATGTGGAGTCAAGTGTCTCTTTTTTTTGGCCACCCCTGTATAGTGACTTAGGATTGATCAGGAATTAGGCTAACGTTTTGGAGGTAGTGTAAATATCAACGTTTATGTTTACAACAAGCAAGTGCAAGCGTTTTCCTACCGACCCTTCAACCTGCATGAAATACAATCGAATGCATTTCATGTTTGACCTTCGCGAGCTTTCGTAACAAAGGTATAATGGTAGTTCAAATCAGCCATTCAAGATCAAATAGACACCATTTGAAGCCGCTTCTTTCTGCGATATAGGCTTGTGTGCATAACTGCTGAAATGGTTTTCAAATTGGAACACAGAGATTTTGCGATACCTGGCCGGCTCAAGCTCAGCATGGGTATGAGACAAACACGCTGCTTCTATGCGAGCGGGTAGCCTAGGATTGCTGTGCCGGTCTCCGATCTAAGAAGAAGGTCAAGAAGCATGTCCAAAAACTTTGCTCAATATCTTTTAAAGCCATATAAACATGGTTAGGAAATCTGAGCTCGCCGAACAATGCCGAATTCAAGGAAGTGGAGCCGTTCCATGCATTGACTTGTCTTATACCCACTTTTAGGCGGTTGGCACCTCGGCACACGAAGCAAATTAGGCATTAGTATTGCTAAAGATCTATTAATGGGGTGCGTCTATGTCCAGAAAACAAATTTCGTAATCTGTTAGCATAAACGCGCCGTGTTAATAACTTCAAGTAAACTTACATGACTGTGTGGCGTTAGTGAGACTTGATTACGCCTCAACGCCTCAACTGTAATGAGTGAGCCAAGCGTTTCACGCCGAGTCGATGCGATATTCCGATTCAAAAGTGCGCCTTCATTTCTTTAGTCTTACCTAGATGTTCATCTTTACATCTAGAAATATATATGTGTATATTTGCTAGAATCAAATCGACTGCCTCAACTCCCTACCAAAGAGCACATTCTAATCTATCTAAAATTACATGACAGCCTTCTACACCGACGACATCAGAAGATTTTCCCACGGAAACATGGTTCACGGTACGAGCTCAACGAGGTCGTCGAGGTACCATAGACCATTACGACGTCCCTGAAACGCTGGTCAAAAGCGGTTTTGCATAGTCACAGCTAATGTCTCTGGAAGCTATTCAACAGTTAATCCATTGAAGAAATTATGTAGCAGCTTCAGGCCGGAGCGATTACGGTAAGCCTCGTTGAGCTCGACGGTGGCGGCAGATGACGTCATATTCTGAAGACGGTGGGGGCAGTGAAGGAGGGCCTGCTTCTGTTTACGGGGAACACCTAAGGAATATTTCGCCGTAAAACTTTCATTAACATCGGCTCCCTGTGCGACGAAAAGTTCGATGATGTGCGCCATGGGCAAAGTGTCTCTTTTTTCTTTGGCCACCCTGTATCTAGGAAGTGGTACTAGTCATTTCCAAAAAACTGGAACTTATCCGGCGCTGATCCATATTCTCCAAATTGGTTCGAAACTTATGACTAGAGGTTATTCAATCCTTCACTGACAATGAGTGATTAGAAGCTGTTCGAATGTTTGAAGAAGACCAACCAATGACCGTAGGAATGCCAGTGATTACTAAAAAAGTTTAGCTTAATTTTCGAACAAATGCTCCTGTTCTCACTCTCTTCCGAAGCTTATTTTGAACCACGTAACTCTGTACACCTTCTGTAGTTCCTTTCGTTCCATTCATTCTCTCATTTGGTTCTATCAGCAATTTGTCAGTTCACAGTAACGCTGGTGCAAGAATGCTCATGACACAAGTGGCATTGAATCACTCGCTACTAAATGCAATGCACCATCAAATGCACTGAGTCATGCAATTTTCGCATAAACGTAACATCGTTACTTCACTCTCAATCTCGCAGCAGGTGTGATCTTCTCGAGAAGTCGGCAATGGAGATAACGCATGCACATGCTTTTGGTCACCCAAATGAAACCGTTATGCATGAATGGTGGTGAAACTAATTTTGCTCCGCCGTGGGGGTGTCCT